TTTTTTTTGGAGTATGGGGAGTTTTCAAATTTGACATTTAATGGGGGTAATTTACTAAGTTACCCAAGCACATATAAATGAATAAGACGGTTCATATTCTATATATCTTCTGTGCCATGGTACTGAAGTCAAACATTAATTTATAGTCGTCTCAATTCTCAAGTAGCATAAATCATGATTACGGCTGAGCATGGGATTCGAAGAATTTTGAATCACTTTGAAAATCGAACCGAAATTACTCCGAACTGAAAAATAACTGTTGACCGTTTGACTTTTTTCGAACCGAACCGAACCGAAAAAATAATTGGTACGGTTCTGGAGATTTCACAAATATTCGTACCGATAACCGAATCGAACCGTCTCTTACCGTACCGAACCAAATAACCAAAATTAAGAATCTAATTATAACATTAGATGTGGTATTAATATTTTTTATGTCACATTTGATCCTTTATAATATAGTAATAATAACTATTAACTTTTATACTTAGTAATACTTACTAAAACTTGATTTACAATTGAATTTTTTCTGTTATAAAATAATTATATAAAATAATATGAAAGGTTAAAGCACATTTTTTTAGAAAAAAATATTATATTTTGTTTGAATTTTACATTTTCAATATTAGTTAGCACAAATTTAGAGTTACTTTTAAAGTTGATTTCAAAATAAATTTTTTAATATGAAGAAGTATTGATGAATGTTGGTTTTATTAAAGCATATAAAAATTGAATAATTAAAATTTAGAGTTACTTCTAAAATTGTTTTCAAAATAAAATCTTCAGTATGATGAATTATTGATGAATGTTGTTTTTTGAAAGCATATAAAAATTTATAATAACTAAGTAGTCATTAAAAGAAATCTAAAAAAATAAGAAATCTTCGAAGATCCGAACCAAACCTTACCCAACCGTACCTTCCCAATAGTCCCGAATACCGAACCGAACTGAACTGAAAAATAAAAATCTCCGAACCGAAACGAACTGGCTTTTTTGTACGGTTCTGGAAATCGAATTTTAAGATCTCCGAACTTTGGTACGGTTCCGGAGATTTATCAATCTCCGAATCGTACCGACCCACGCTCACCTATAATCATGATTATCCGAGTGTACATTATATTCGTTTTGAAATTATTGAATATTTGTTAATGATAATTGTATGAAATTTACTGTATTATATAGAATATAAAATTTTATTCATATATTATATATATAATTATATTAAATATTTGTTAATGATAATTATATAAAATTTACTATATTATAAAGAATATGAAATTTTATTCATATATTATATATATAATTATATTATATTAAATATAATTGTGTTTCGAAAAATATATTTATGTTTACATTTGTATAAATTCTAGTATTCGACCATGTGCATTTGCACAGATGTAAATAAAGTATTGTGAGTTAGTTGTATGCGTATAATGATTAATTATTTTTATTTCACCTTTTTGCTGGCCAAATTTACAATTAAGTAATTTGGAATATTTTTTTAAAATTGCGTTTATCTTATTGGATGTAATGTATATATTGATACGTCTTTTTCTTTGTGTATTATTTATTATTTATTTAGTAATTTCAAATACATTTATTTTATTTTATAAAAAAATAATTTAAATGTAACCACAACATCCTAATCACATTATACGGTCAACACATTATATGGTCAACTGTCAGTAATCAAAAGTTTAAAATGATTTTTGTAATTTTGAAGTGATTAGTGTTGATTATTTAACAATTAAATGAAAGATTAAATACATCAAAAGTAACGTTATTTTTGAGGGAAAAGGGTTAAATTGTCACTTAGGTAAAATTAAATAGGTTTTATTAAATGATATTAGTTAGTAATTATATATACTAGTAATTCTTCCTGTGCATATGCACAGAATTAAAAAAAAAAAAACTTATATATAAAGATAACAACTAAAATAAAAATTAATTAGCAATATGTATCACATTTATGATTTAATTGTTACATTAACTTAGCGAGTTATTTGAGAATTAATTCATTTTAACTT